AGTCACTTATCTCGAAAACAGGAAGGCCCATGGAGAAGACGGGATACCACTAGAGTTACTCAAAGCTTGCTTACCAACCCTGATCCATCCGCTATTTGGGAAGGGGAAGTTTTTCCAAAAGACTGGATGGCTTCAATTTTAGTCCGGGTCCCAAAAAAGGGTGACAGTAGATCTGTTACCGAAAATTACAGGGGTATTAGCCTGATTGATATTGCAGCCAAATTGTTTGCAGGGATACTGCTCAATCGCTTCGCAGTCGTCAGGGATAACCCACACCCGAATCAAGGGCAGTTCCGCCGCGGAAGAGGCTGTGTTGAACAAGTCTTCACTCTCCGTAGAATTCTGGAACACCACTACAAGTTTCAACAGCCTACTACTGCATGTTTCACTGACTTCCGCGCTGCGTTTGACTCTGTCTATAGAGAATCCTTGTTGTTAGGACGGAGCGCACAAAATCCGTCCTGCCACGCAGCGACGCGCGTCACACCACAAGTTCGCTCGTGACGCCCAAGCCGAATCGACTCCTGATTGTATGACTAAGGCGAATCAAATAGCTGTTGTCCGGTCGATCAACCTGAGTGTCAAGCTCACGATCTGATTTGCGCGTCACCACGTCTGCTCGCGTACGCCCAACTGACCACAAATATTTCCTTGTTGTTTCATGATCAAGTATACTCCCTGACTGTCGTTTCTCAGCAGTGTTCTTTCTCCAGTTGTTGGGGCCTAGACAAAGAGGCGTACGTATCGATTATATTGTTATAACATCAAGACATAACACTGGTGGTGCATATTGCGGTCTGACGAGATGCCTGAGAAGTTCATCAGGCTTTTAAAGTCATACTATTCAGGAATCCGGGCACACATCCGTACTTATGGAGAAGAATCCGCTGAGTTCACCCTAAGCTCTAGAGTTAGGCAAGGTTGTCCGCTATCGCCGGTGTTATTCAACTACACCTTAGATTGGATAATGCGACAAGCACTCATCGACTGCCCTGGAGTACAGCTTGGCCCAAATACATGGACTGCGGACCTCGAGTTTGCGGATGATGTCGTCGTACTTGGAGACAGCATGGACAACCTCCAGCCTGTCGTCGTATAAATCTGTTTGCCCAGTCCATTGGGCTGGAGATCAGTACGTCGAAAACGAAGACATTTTCGACCGTAACTTCTACCACGACACAACCCCTCTCGATTAACGGGGAGCTTGTCGAATCAACCAAAGTTTTCAAGTATCTTGGCTCTACGATAAGACTAAACGGCCAGGCTAATGATGAAATCCGACTCCGTGTAGATGTAGCGAGAAGATTCTTCCTACAACTCCTCAAACCGTTGTGCAATCGATGCGAAATAAGCTTAAACACTAAGCTTCGGGTTTACCAGGCTTCTGTCCGCCCGATCCTCACGTGTTCTTGTGAAACCTGGCCACTAAAAGTACAAAATATAAGGAAGCTCGAAGTCTTAGATCATTGGTGCTTACGCCGCATCTTGAAAGTAAATTGGAGAGATCGGATTTCCAATGATGAGGGTCGACGGCACTGCTTGAACATTGACAAGCTTTCAAAAATGCTACAACGCCGGCGCCTTCAGCGGTTTGGCCATGTGCTCCGAAAACCCGACACTCAACTCTCGCGACAGGCTGTAGCCCCCGCACCATGTCGCGGATGGCGTTGCAGAGTCGGTGGTCAATTGAAGACCTGGAATAGTACGATCAAGGGGGAATTGGAATTACTGGGTCTTCAATCCGTATATGGAATTCGCAACTGGAACCAGAACTGGGTTTCACACTGCGTCAACCTTGCTACCGATCGTCATGCATGGACCGCGATCATTTGAGACATCCAGGAAGCCGACTTATCCTCCCGCAGGAGTTAGTCGATCAAAAGTAAAAAGTAGGTCATATGGGAGCATTTCGCGAGGCGCAAAGGAAGGGTGACCAGCCACAACCTCCAGACATCCATCCCCGAACATACTGAGGCTTTCGGAGGCGTCAGGATTCACCTCTCTCTCTCCGTTCCTTGTGAAATTTGTTATGGATTTGATAGTGGAAACAGCCCTATCCTTGTGCGAGGATAATGGCATCGATTTA